ATTTGTTGATGATAGCCATTCTGACAGGTGTGAGGTGGTACCTCATTATTGTTTTGATTTGCATCTCTCAGATGATTAGTGACTTTGAGCATGTTTTCATGTCTCTTGGCCTTCTGTAGGTCCTCTTTCAAAAAGTATCTATTTAGGTCCATTGCCCACTTTTTAATTGGATTGTTTATCTTCCTTTTGTTAAGTTGTATGAGTTCCCTGTAAATGTTGGAGATTAAACCCTTATTGGAGATAACATTGGCAAATCCTACCTAACAATAGACAAAGATGGTAATTGACCATACCTTCGCTATGCCTCCCATTGGCTAATCAGCGTGATATGCAAATTAACCGCCAACAAAGATGGTGGCTAATTTGCATACTGCAGGCAGGGAAGGACAGTGCGAGCCACCAGCTGGGACCTCCGTGTGCCGCCTAAGCCCCACCCCCAGCTGGGACCCCATGGCGATCTGAGAGCAGGAAAGTGCTGCCTGGAGGCAGCACCCAGCAGGGCCTGCCCCTGGGTCGCTGTGGCGATCACATAGCAGGAAAGTGCGGCTGGCAGGGAGCACCCAGGAGGGCCTGCTCCTGGGTCACCGTGGGGATCCCAGAGCAGGAAAGTGCGGCTGGCAGGCAGCCCCCAGGTGGGCTTGCTCCTGGGTCTCCATGGCGATCCCATAGCATGTAAGTGCGGCCTGCAGGCTGCACCCAGGAGGGCCTGTCCCTTGGGCTTGCTCCTGGGTCTCCATGGCGATCCCATAGCAGGTAAGTGCGGCCTGCAGGCTGCACCAAGGAGGGCCTGTCCCTGGGTCTCCGCGGCGATCCGGCGATCCGTGAGCAGGAAAGCGCGGCCTGCAGGCAGCACCCCACCCTGGCCACAGCTCAAGGGAGAGAACAACACGCAGTGGAGGCCAGCAGCCTGAGAGATCAACACAGAGGGGCGCCTGCTCCAAGCCTCCACGGTGTGGCTAGGGACAGGTCCCCAGCAGACACACACACACACACACACACACACACACACACAGAGCGACTGCTCTGAGCCTCCTACGCAGCTGGGGGCAGGCCCCCAGCGGGGACACACACGCGCGCACACAGGACACCTGCTCTGAGCCTTTGCTGCCAGACTGTGGCTGTCAGTAGGACATCCACTGAGGGCTCCCGGACTGTGAGAGGGGCAGGCTGGGCTGAGGGAACCCCACCCCCCAGTGCACGAATTTCGTGCACCGGGCCTCTAGTATGATATAAGAAACTCCCACATTACATTCCAAAGGGATTTTACAATTTTACATTTACATTAACTTGTATGAGAGACTCCGGCATTTGGTGTTACTTTTTTCTTTATTTTATTAAGCCATTTAGATGGGTGTGTAGTGATAAGTCATTGTGGTTAAATTTGCTTTTCTCTAATGGCTAAAGATGTTAAACATATTTTCATGTGTTTATCACTTATATATTATCTTTGGGAAATGTTTATTCATTTCCATTTTCTAATTTGATGTTTTGTGTTTACTTTTTTTATACTTACGTTTTGAGAGTTCCATATATATTCTAAATATAACTTTTTTGTCTGGTTGTGATTTGAAAATATCTTCTCCCAAAACATGGGTTATTTTACCTTTTTATCCTTTTAATAGAATTTTGCACAGAACAAAAGTTTGGTAGAATTTGCCAGTGAACCAGCCTGATATTGTCAGTTTTGTTTGGAGAGTTTTATAATTATGAATTAACTTCCTTATAGTTATAAAACTATTCAATCCTCTGTTTCGTATCATGTGAGTTGTATTTTCTTTTTAAGAATTGGTCCATTATATCTGTTTTCAAATTAATGTATGTATAACTGTTCATAGTATTTATCTTATTATCTTTTTGAGGTCTGTTGGGTCTGTAGTGGTATCCCCTGTATCATCTCTAATGTTTGTAATTTATGTCTTTTATTTTGTTTGTTAGTATTGCTACAGTTTTGCCAACTTTATTGATCTTTCTAATTTGTGTTCAAAATAAACAGTGAAGATTAAAATAAAATAATTTTCTAGATAGAGATATACATGTATAAATAAATAATCTTTAGAATATAGTTTTATAATTACATTAGAGGAATGAAAAATAAATTTGAGCGCTAGCCAGGTTGGCTCAGTGGATAGAGCGTCGATCAGTGGACTGAAGGTTCTCAAGTTCAATTCTGGTCAAAGGCACATGTCTGGGTGCAGGCTCAATTCCCAATAGGGGGCATGCAGGAGGCAGCCAATCAATGATTCTTCCTCATCATTGATGTTTCTATCTCTCTCCACCTCCCTTCCTCTCTGAAATCAATAAAAATAACAAATATATTTAAAAAATAATAAATTTGACGTTTGAATATAGATATGCCTATTCTCAGCAAGATTATATTTATTTATAATTTGGGTAAATATGAACTATCTTGATTACAATTTCATGTTGTTATTAGGATGAAAATAAAATGTTCCCATCTGAAAGGTTTATTCTCAGTGAGACTGTCACTGGGCACTCTATTTAAATGTGTTACATTCATAAATCTCCACCATCCTACTTTTTCCATTGTATATAATACTATTTACATAATATTTTACCTTTTTTTGTTATTATCTGTCTCTCCTTATTAGAGTAGTGATTGCCTTGAAATAGGATTATGCAAATTAAGTGAATAAACATATAACAGCAACATTTAAGAGCATCTTGCAGACAGTTTCATATGAATGTTTTCTAGTGCAAATTCGGGTAAAACCACCTATATTTGTTTTTTCTTATTTTATAATGTGTATCTGTTTTTCATAATTTCAATTGAAGGGCCTCATATGTAGTATAATTAAATGTAGTTAAGCTCTAATTTAAACAAAATTTGATATGTTGTAGTTTAAGGATACGACTCAAAGGAGCTAGAATAACTTCTATACTACACTTTTGCTTGCTTCTTTTATTCATTGTTTTCCTCAGTTGCCCATTCACTGTTGTGATGACATTAATTTATATTCACAAGTTTCTAATTCTACTCTATACCCATTTTATGAACATTAAAACCACATTTTCAATGGCCTCATTAAAACTTCAAATTCATTTTCTTCAAAACTGAGTTCATAATTTTTTTCTGTCGATTAACTCTTTTCTTATATTTTATCTTATGAAGATATCCAGTAGCCTATTTCATATATATGGTAGTCATCTTGGACCATTCTATTGATCTTATATTCAGTGTACACTTGTTACCAAATATGTAACAATTCTATTCTCAAATATCCCTGTCTCCATTCCCATTGTATGAGGTTCCTGTCACCCTTGACAGCTATTCTGGATTACATTCAGTAGAAGTTTAAATACTAAATTTAGAATCAAGACAAGACTTTTTAGGTTATGCTCCATAGATGTCCTCCTCTCTGATTATGCCTGATTTCACTAAACAAATACACTTATACAGACATGCTCAATTTAGTGACACATCACCCTTAACAAACCCTACATAAAGAGTCATCCTTGCATTAGTTATTGGTCTTAGAGACACCCACTGGGTCTACATTTATTTCTATTATTTGAAGTGCATTTAGAAATTTCTTATTCACTATATTAACAAATCTGTGAATCTAATAGCATTTCAGACATGATTCAAATAATTTGAGTGAACAAAAGGCAATATAGTAATATATTTCTAGGCATGATACTTGAGGGTTGTGTATATGTGGTAATAAGAAGCAATGAGAAGTTCAATATGCTCTTCACTGTTTGATATTTATCTATCAGGTATTTCAGTGTGCTTCTGTGTCCCGAATGACTTCAAATAGTAATTAGGCTTGTGATGAAGCACATATTCCTAAATGACTACTCTAATTCTGTTGTAGGTTAAAGCGCAGAGTTAGAACTCTGTTCTGATAAAAAATATATTAAGTGTGATATTAATGGCTTAAAGTTGTATGCCTCCCTTGAGATTCCCACTTTTAATAACCTCCAGCATCATAGATAAAACTGAGGGAGTAATCATTTCTGAAATGGATTTTCTGGCAGAATTAGACATCACCTCCACGAATCAATAATCATTTGAAGCTAACAGAGTGATTAAATGACCTCCGTTTTATTTTACCTCATGTTGAGTTGCTTTTAAATCTTGATTTAGAGTCACTCTGCTAGAAACAAAGATAAACCGAGGACTTAGAACATTAGAGCAGCAATGTGAGGCCTATTCATTATGAAGGCTAAAGGCTCCTTTCCTTCAATCAAGGCATTTCTAGCTAATCAATGCATTCTGAAGGAAAACCTGAGCACTCTAGGTGCAGACTGTATAATACCAACACCTAAGGCTGCTGCTTCTTTGTGAAGATCTGCACCATTAGCTTTGTTATGGCAGATGCTATATATTTTTTATTTAATACTTTACCATGCCAGTGATGCTGGGGTTACCTTTATATTGACTGATAATGTTGTCATTAATTCTTTTTCATACATGTAGTTTATTCCTCCCATTTCTTTACAGTAAAAAATTTCAAAACCAAATCCAAACAAACCCTGCCTTTAGTAGGCAACAAGTTAATTCTAGCAGCCAACTATTTTTACCACATGTAAGAAATACAGCCAGTTAACAATTAGAGTTTTACATAGTTTGAGTTGCTAATTACTACATAAATAACAGCATTGACCAAATAATTATTTTTATAAATATCCTGATAATACACACATATGAAAATAGGAAAATGAAATTTGTGAATATGCTCATATGTAAAAAGTAAAATTTGAGAAATGTAAATTTGTGGAATTCAATAAAATTTAAAAGCAAACATTATTTGATCTTTATCCAAAGGAAAATTAGATAGCAAGATAGATTGATAAATATAGTGGGTGATCGTGTGTGTATCCACACACGTGTGCACAAGGGAAAAAAAGAGAGATAAAAATAAGTCCCTTTATTATATATTTAGGCAGATCTAAGTTTATTATTATTAAATAATATGATATACTAGAGGACCGATGCATGAAGATTCGTGCAAGAATAGGCCTTTCTTCCCCTGGCTGCCTGCACTGCCTTCGCTTTGGCCCGGAGCCGCCTTTCCGCATTTGCTCTGGCCCGGAGCTGCCTTCCGCCTTCGCATGCTGCCCAGAGGCCCAGAGCGGCCGCCTCCATTTTTGTCATGCCAATTTGCATATTCCCTCCTTATTGGTTGTGGGCGCCTCCATCTTTGTCATGAAGTGACAGTCAATTTGCATATTCCCTCTTTAATTGCTAGGATTATTATTAAACAATATTATATATTATTAGGTAAACATATATGTGCATATATATATGCCTCAATTATATTATTATTTACCTAATAATCTTATTTTTCTGATTCTGAAAATAATTGATGTTTATTTACAAGTACTCCTATCTAAGGCTTGGTTTCTTTCTAGATTGAATATGTTTACCTTCTTTAAAATATGTATTTCATGTTTGAAATATGTACCAATTAAAATTATAACATAGCAAGTTAAATACTAACAATTATGCATTTTCTCTGCAAAGTGCCTTAAAATATAACCTATATAATTAATTAATAAATCTTACTGTCAAAGAGTTCTCAAAGTGTTATTTGATAACAAGCATATGATTTTCAAAATGTAGAAACTTGATTTCGTGAGCTTTAAAATTTTTGCTCCTGCCATACAGTTACTTTGGGAAAATATCTGTCTTTCTAAAGAAATTGATTTTTAAAAATATTGTTTTAGCATTATAAGTGCCAACTCTTTCTCTTCAAGTGCAAAATGTGATTTTATTTAATTTTAGACATTTAACAATTGGAAATATTCAGCTAGTAATATTTAGAATTTTATTCATTCATTTTCACATCTTTAATACTGTACAGTTTTGACAAGGATAACAGAAAGGTGCTATGTACCTCTTAGAACACCTTATCATGAGACAGGTGATGTCTGACCCTATCCCTTTTTGTGAGGATAATTTTGATCGGTGTGTCTCTAGATGTTCTCAGTTGGATCCATCCATATAAAATTCAATGTCAGCCTTTCACCTAAGTTATTTGGCTGCTATTGATGATGATTCTCAATTTCCATTATTTCGTTAGGGGTGAAAAATGGTGATATTCTAATTGTATCATACCTTTCTCATTTATTATTTGGAATACTTTACACTAATCTAGGTGTCATGAAGTATAATTCACATAGGAAATGCAGAACAAATTCTTCAATTATTATATTTACAAATTTTTTAGGATTATAACTTGTTTCCAAGCATGTAATAGAGTAATAAGTATGTACTTTATTATAATTATATTAGCATATTTGATGTGTTCCAGTCTCTATTGCATTTATTATTTTTATGCTCATATTGTCCCATTTTTTACTGAAGGCACCTGTTATAATTTTGTTCTGTTTAATATGAGCCCACTAGTCTTTATAGCTTCCATGTTTTCTTGTATAATAAGATGCTCCAGGCTCATTCTACACGTATTCTGCTCCAGATTTGGAATCAGCTATTTATCCAAGGAATCGTGATTCTAATAATGAACGTATTACAAATCACTATCTGGGCACTACACTTTCTCATTACTGCTGAGGTGCTTGTTCTTTATAAAATTTTCAATAAAAAAGGAATAAGAACTCATGTCTTTTTTTTTTATACCATGGCTGACTTGAAGCTATCAATATGGCATCACTAAAAACAGATTTGAAAGATGCATCGCCACACGTTGGTATGTAATATTTTCACCATACACATTCAATAGATGTAAATAGCCTCAACATCATAGACGTTAGAAAAATGTAGTAAAATAATTGGGAATTGATGAGATTTTTAGTATTTCTTACCTTCATTTGAAAATATAATTATGTGGCTATATAATTTATTTTTTTAAATGGCTATATGTAACACTGGGCTCACAAAATTACTGAAAATTCAATAGTAGGCTCAAACAAACCACTCTATTATGTGTACATAAGAATAAAAGTGCCCTAACCGGTTTGGCTCAGTGGACAGAGCATTGGCCTGTGGACTGAAAGGTCCCAGGTTCAATTCCGGTCAAGGGCATGTACCTTGGTTGCAGGCACATCCCCAGTAGGAGGTGTGCAGGAGGCAGCTGATCGATGTTTCTCTCTCATCGATGTTTCTAACTCTCTATCCCTCTCCCTTCCTCTCTATAAAAAAATCAATAAAATATATTTTAAAAAAAGAATAAAAGAGACAATACAGGACATTAGAGTACTAATTTGATTTTTCATGGTATTTAGCAATTATTGTAACATTTTAATGTGTGAAAATGGTAGTCTGATAGTGTCAAAAAAAGAGGCCTTGTTTTTTAGTGATACAAACTGAGTATAAAAAATCCATTACCATTGTAATTCTTGAGCTTTTATATGTGACCTCTTAGTATTCTTTCTGAAGGTTAAGTGTGTATTTTTATTTCCTAGAGTTCTAAAATTTCATAAAGATATATCACATTTGCAGCATTGTATACTTCCTTTTCCCAGGTAATCAGGAAACCCTTTCAATCTGTACTGTTAATTTTTCCTATTTTAATAAAATTTCTTGACTAATTTTTATAAGGCATTCCTTATCTTTGCAACCCCACCACTCAGAAGGATGACTTCTTGACTATTTGGACTGATCCTCATATATATTCTTCTCATTGTGGGGGGTTGCTTTTGTAGCAATTTATTTTCTTCATGCCATATTGCTGAAGCTTTATCTTAATATTTTATATTTAATTTTTAATTTCCTTCTCTGGATACATAGATAAATAGATAGATAGGTATATTTCTATCTTTATTTCTACCTCCATTTATGGATAGAAAAAGACATGAGAGGAGATAGAGAGTGAGGGAGAGAGGAGCATGCATTACTAGTATATTGTTTTCTCCTTTCGTCCTATTTTGGTCTTTGAGAACTTGTGCCCAAATGTCAATATAATGGGATTTCAAGGATGAATGAATACAAAGGCACATATTCAACCTGCCATATTTAAACAAAAGGCACTCTCATATTTAATACATCCTAACCTACTTTCCTTACCCACAACCTTGTCTTTCTTTGCTTTAAGGTTTTATTTGTCCCTTTTTACTATTTCATTTATTCATTTATTTCTTTCATTAACATTCTTGCCAACAGTATACAAAATATTTTGTGGGACTTTCTATTCAAGACCATTGACATACTTCTTCATCCTACTTTTCACTTCTCATATTTTATTTTACTGACTTTTTTGTTTTCACTGTGACATTTTACATATACAATATTTTCAAATATGTACAATTTAAATAAAAATAGTTAAATTAAAACCTTCCACACTACTAACTAGAATTCAAGTACCATGAAAGCCCAGTATGCTGCACCCCAAGATATTCCATTCTCTCTTTCCTCTAAAAGTTAGCTCTATCCTCAATTGTGAACTTATCCTTCCTGTGCTGAAAATAATATTTATTTCATTCTGTTTTTATATGAATGAAATAATAATGGTGTATTCTTTTGTGACTTGATCCATTCACACAGTATAATGATTTAGAGATATACTCATAGTGATGCATTTAGCTAAATTTCATCCATTCTATTGTATGTACATACCAAAATTTATTAAGTCATTTTATGATTGATGGATATTTGTATTTCTAGATTTTTTTCTACTATGTAGGATACAGTGATTTCTTTGTGTGTCTCTTGGTGTATATGTTTAAGAATTTATATAGAGCATAAACATATTGTTAAATAAGGATAATATGTGAATGATTTCATTACATTCAGAGAAATGCTTAATGATAAGAACATACAAATTTTCAAGTTAATGGATAATTACAAAGTTTTACCAAAGTAGCTTAGTAGCAATTTACATCTTCATCAGCTGCATAAGACATTAACTTGATAGACCTTTTCCAGAAATTATTATATTAATAAAATTATACTGATGGTATTCATCCTTGGGGTCTCAGATGTTTTTTCAGTCTCCTGTAAAACTCATTACCTCGAGGGGTAGAAGCGTAGAGCTCCAGCCTTTATCAATTATTCCCCAGGCCTGATATTTTTGGGTTCGGCAGAGCCTCCCTAGTGAAAGCCATGCTTGCATGTGCTTACACGCTAGACTTTCTGATTTTAATTTTTTTCATATGTGCTGAAATTAAAAGTATTTTTCTTAGCTCTTTCATCAGCATGTAATTGTGTAGACAGTCCAGAATATAAAGTCTGTTATATTGCAAGAAATAGAAGTTTGCTTTATTATGTTTTAGGTGGAATCAAGGAACAATAAAATAATTCTGACAAAAAAGATTGGAATTAAAAAATTCTAAATTGTTCCAATTCTTTATTGGTGTTGTATTACCATGCCTTACAGTAACACTAACAAAACTGCAATAATAAAAGATTTATCAATAGGCACATCTTTAACCCTCTGTCTTTTCTTTGCCTTTATATGGATATCCTATATAATAAACAGCCAGAGACTAGACTACCACGGCCCCTCGTTGGCTGGCCCCGCCCCCAAGCAAGTGGTTAGGGGCAATCAGGTAGGCAGGCAGAGTGATTAGGGGTGATCAGGTAGGCAGGCCAGCAGTTAGGGGTGATCAGGTAGGCAGATGGCCCCTCGCAGGGTTGGCCCCGGCCCCCAGCAAAGGAAGAGGGAGGCCTGGTCAGCCAAGCTATTGCACCCCAGCCTGTCGCCTGCAGAGGGAGGCCACCAGTGGCAGTAGAGGGGGGAGCAGTGGCAAGCAGTGGCAGCAGCGGGGGTGGGGCCAGGCCTAGGGACCCTACCCTAGGGGTCCCGGATTGTGAGAGGGTGCAGGCCAGGCTGAGGGACCCCTCCGAGTGCACGAATTTTCGTGCACTGTGCCTCTAGTAGTAATAGTATTAACCTTGTAAAATCTTAGAAAAGTGTTTAGCTATTATTGAGCCCATCATATTCTAGGATGAAAAGCATGTAAATTGAAATATATGTTACTATAAATGTCTAAAAGCTGTCATTGAAAAACCTTTCTTATTTTCTTGCTCTCACACTCAGTTTCTCATAACCACACACACAATTATACATGCCCTTTGGAATTCATGGGGGAAAAAACTGAATTTCATACAATAAAACTTAAAATTGCTTTAAAATAACAGCAAAATT